ACGCAGTGTTTTCAGCCACAGAGCGGGCATGGTGCAAGAGTCGATGCGAAGCGCGGGCATGGTGCCACAAGTTTTGAATAATCTGGGGCGACGCCGCCAGCTACGATGACGCGCGAGAGATTGGAAGACTTTCTGGCGCAAGCAGCTCAGGGCGGAGGCGCTGCGAAGAAAGAACCGCGCCAGGCAATCCCACCTCACATTTTGCAAGTGACGTCTGAAAGACGGTCTTTCCGGGCAGGAGGGGCAGGGCGAAGGCCGGCAAAAGTTATCAGCCAGGATATACAACGTGAATTAAGAGAATGGGAGCGATTGCGAAAGGCAGAACGCGTTGATGCAATGCTGCAGAATTTCAAGCGCATCGGCCGCATCCACGGTGTCCACAAGAACTTTAGAACGCAGCGGCTGACCAGCGTCGTTGACTGCTTGGGGAACCCGCGCTCGGACAGACAAGGCGTCGTCGATGTTTTCGGCACGTTCTACGGGGGGCCTTACAAGTCTAGGGGGGCCAGCAGCAGCCTTGAACGAGACGCCGGCTGCACTGGAGTGACAGCTGATACACCGTCAGTTACAGTTGAAGAAATAGAGGAGCACGTCAGACATGCTTATATATATATAACTGCAGATCGGACTGGCGGGGCGGCTGACGCGTTCAAAGCTGGCGGGCCGCATCTCGAAGAAGTGTCGGCGAACATTTTCACGAGTATTCTGGCGCGCGGAGATGAGCCAACAGGGTCGTGGAGACGCGTCTGCGCCATGGTGACTTTCAAAGAGGATTCGAAGCTTCCTGGACATTTCCGTTCAACTTCCATTCTTTCCATGCTGCGCAAGCTCTTCGCCATGGTGCTGAGCGGGCGACTCGCGAAATTTCTCGACGCAAAGCAGTTTATGTAATGATCATTTGGTGACCCTTACGCTCATCCGCGAGAAGGCCAGGGAGTGCAACTTGAAGCTCTGGGTCGCTGCCGTTGACTTCGAAAAAGCATTGAACACCCTGGGCCATTCTGCTATCTGGCATTCTCTGCGCCAGCAAGGGGTTCCGGAGACGCGCGTGCAAGTGTTACGCCGGTTGCACGCAGGACAAACGGGCCAGGTGGTATCTGATCGGGAGAGCCGCGCGTTCAAGCTTGAGAGAGGCACGAAGCAGGGCGACCCAATGCCATCAGCTATATTCAACGCAGTCCTGGAGACAATCATGCGGGACCTCAAGAGTAAATGGCTGCAAGAGAGGCTTGGGCTCAAACTTGGTTCACATAATTTGACCAACTTGAGGTTCGCAGACGACGTTCTCTTGCTTGGAGCCAGCAGGGCGCAGGCGCGACGAATGTTATCCGACTTGAACGAGAGGGCGCGCAGTGCCGGTTTGCAGCTTCACATGGGCAAGGCGAAATCTTGTCGAGCGAGGCAGACCGCCGGGGAGTGGCGCGACGCCCCCCCCAAAAAAAAAAAAAACGCAGTCGGAGACGAGCGGGTCGAAGTCTTAGAGCTCAACGACGGCGTGAGGTACCTGGGAAGGAAGTTAGCGTTCAGTGAATACCACGATGTGGAAATCAACCGCAGGATTTCGAGAGGGCGGGCTGCTGTCGGAAAGTTCAAATCTGAATTGTGACGTCGGCATTATCTCTTACATTCCAGATTGAGGCGATTCGACGCTGTCGTGAGGGCGGGCTGTTGTCGGAAAGTTCAAATCTGAATTGTGACGTCGGCATTATCTCTTACATTCCAGATTGAGGCGATTCGACGCTGTCGTGTCTTCTACGGCGCGGCATGGGAGCGGCGCCCGGGCGCTCACTGCAGCGCGAGAGCAGAAACTCAACGCAGCAATGCGGGAGATGATTCGGGAAATCGTGGGCGCGCGGCGACTGGAACGTGAGTCATATGTTGATTGGAGATTGAGAGCTACTCAACGGGCAGAGGAGGCATACTCGAAATCTGGATTGCCCACGCGGCTGCAGTCGCAGAGCGAGAGGAAAGCCAATTTATATCGTGAGCTACAGTCATGCAGTGACCACAGATGGGGGGCAGGTTGCGTTGCGATGGGTGCCTTCCGGTTGCAGATATATCGGAAGGCCGTTAAAACGACGGACGTCTAGAATGTGAGAATGAGAGAATCTGAGAATGTGAAATCGAGGTACTGTGCGAGCGTGCGTGCGAGAATGCGAGGAGGCTTGCGGCAGCCCGCACAGGGCGCGCCTCCGCGCACGCCGCGGCTGTCCTGTCCTGTCCTGTCCCTTCGCATTCTTCAGGATTGCACAGGAATCCTCAGGACACACAGTGACTCCTCAGGATCCCTTAGGCTTCCTCTGGACGCATCAGGACTCCTCAGGATTCGTCCGGATTCTTCAGGATTCCGCCGGACTCCTTCCGAGAGTCCAGGTTTCTTCGGGACCTCGTAGAAATCATTTGGATTTCCCAAGCATTATTCAGGATCTCGCCAAGGTTGCTCAGGATCTTGCGGGCCTGCTCAGGGTTCCTTGGGATATCTTAGAATTTTCTTCAGGGCCCCCAAGGATTCGTAAGAACACGTCAGGACTCCCCAGGGCTCCCGAGGACTCCTCAGGATCCCCGTCGTCGTCGCCGCCGCCGTCGTCGTCGTCGTCGTCGTCGCGGGAACAGCACAGATGACGGGGCTTACGGCGTCGCACCGCGGAGCGAAACTGCCGCAGATGGCCTTTCGCAGGGCCAGAGAAATCGCCGTCACACAACGTTTCGGGACGAGGCCGGAGCGCACGCCCGTCCACAGGGGGAGTGGCACTGGAGGCTCCGGTCTTGCCCGGGGCCGGAGTGTGTGTCTTTCCGTTGTTGTTGTTGTCGTTGTTGTTGTCGTTGTCGTTGTCGTTCTCGTTGTTGTTGTTGTTGTTGGTGGTGGTGGTGTTGGTGTTGTTGTTTTTAAAGTATTATTAGTATTATTATCATTATTGGTGTTATTGTTATTGTTATTCGTATTATTATTATTATCATTATTATTATTAGTATTAGTATCATTATTAATATTATTATTATTTTCGGCATCATCAGCATTATTATTATTAACATTATTATTAGTAGTATCATTATTATTATTATTTTTATTATCAGTGTTATTATTATTACTATTATTATTATTCATATTTTTCGATTCGTATTACTATTCGTATTGTTGCTGTTGCTGTTGCAATCGAAGGAACCCAACGCCAAGGTGATGGAACGACCGACGACTACGGCGACGGCGAGAGGGAAACGGGACGAGAGGTGACGCGGCGGCCGCGCCGCCGCCTCCGAAGCGTCACATTGGCGAGCTTTCCGACCCATTTGGGGGCACCCAGCCTGATTGGCGCACACGGCCGCCCGCCGCCCTGCTTCGCGGCCGCTGACGCGCCCCGCTGGCAGCAGCAGCAACATGGCCGCCCGTGGCGGTTGCGCCAGGGACCAACCGCCGCACGGCTGACTCGCGAACCGCGGCCAGCACGGCGCCCAGCTGCCGCACCGCAAGCAAGCCACCCACGCGGGCCTTGCGCCGCCACGTGCGGCTGCCAAACGTCACCCGCGAACAGCGCCCTCGCCGCGGCTGCCTCCCCAACGCGTGAGCGCATGGGAGGCGCGACGTCCGCAGGTTTCCCTGGCCGCGCCCGTCCTGGCGGCGCCGCAGCGGCGGCGACCGCCGCCGCGTTACCTTCTGTGGCGCCCGTTTGCGGCAGTGCCCAGGTGCCGCCGAGCGTCACCGCACCCGCTCCTCCACAGGGTCACGAAACGCGTGCGGGGTGTGCCGAACTGGGCGCGGCACCGCCATGCGCACCTTGTCATTGGGGCCGACATTGAAAGAACCTATGTATACAATGAGCAGATGCACCGAGACGAAAGAGCAGGAAGAGGGGAGGGTGTCAGATGCGGGGCGCTGCTGATTCAAAGCGAGGACCCAAAGCCCATGAGGTTTGGGAAAAACATGGAAAAGCCAGCGATGACATGGTTGTATGCCTCCTAGAACTTCGCTGGAGCATTTGTTGTGCGCCTCTTCAGGATTTCGTGGGGCCTCTTAGGGCATCTCGAGAGCAGATTGGGGTCCTGGGGAGCAGTTTGGCAGTATTGGTATGCGCTTGGGGCATACTGCAGCGGTGTCGGGGCGGTAGAAGAGAAGCAAAGGGTTAGGCAGTCTTGCGGCCGAGAAACGCGAACGCATGCTCCGACGGGCGGCGCATCGTCCCTGGAAATCTACAGATATCCGACCAGGCGGCTGGCAGCTATTCTCGCGCAGCCCGGCGAGCTGATGACTTGGTGGCGGATCGGCAATACGACAGCGTGCGCAGCAAGTCTACGCACAGCCGCGCACAGGCATTTGCACTCGTCAGGACCCTTTCCGATTCGCTCGATCCCATTCGGTGTCGAGTTTGTCGGGTTCCGTCCGACCCGATTTCGATATTCCAGCGATCCGATGCGGCCCGCCGATGCTTGCAAAGCAGATTTATACATCTCGCGCAGCATATTCGATATCGATTCCGATTGCGCTCCGATGTTGCCCGGTTCGCTTCATGTTCCGACCCGGTTCAATGTCGCGATTCGATGTTGGTTGTTCTTGCGTGTTCGCCGAGGTCCGCACGCAATGACATCTGCGAATTCACGAGCAGTTTCTCGTGCACGCCTGTACCGTCGGTTCGCGCCGCGTCGACGCGGCGGCGACCCCAGCGCGGGCTTTCCAGGTTGAACGCCGCCAACGGCCCTAAATTGGCCGACGTCGAACGACTTGCGTTATATTTGTTCAAGGCTGACCGACGCATGCGGGGTCAGAAACAACCGCCGACGTCGTTACGGCTCAGACATGCCAGACCTTGCCCGGGGATCTTTTCTGAGACGGTTTAGCATCTGAGACCGTTCTTCTGCCGAATTGGCAGCCGAACGGGTTCAGTTCCGATAGCGCTGTGGGAATTGAGTCCGTTCGCTATCCAAACGGGCTTTATGGGGAGTCCTTGGGTTGCCGTGGCTTTCTGCCGTCGCCTCCATTGTCCCGCGGCCGCGCGGGTGCCCCCCAGCGCTCCATCAACAAGATCGGGTGAGCGCTTGGCCGACGGTTGCTGGGGTTGCGAAGAGGAGGAGGGTGCCATCTGATTTCTCATCAGTTTCTCCGCTCCTTCTCATCTTCCGCTGCCCCCCTCCCTTCCCTCAGCATGTCATCCGCTCGGCTCGAGGGCCATGTGCCCCGCCCCGCTAGCATCCGCCTGCAGGCACCCGTGTCCCGTTCACTCCACAGCAAGACCATTTTCTGAATTTTCATCACGATTTTCTACCCATGGCGCAGGGCGGTTCGCGGCGTAGCGCCGCGAGCCATCGGCGATGGGTGCATTGCCTTGTTTGCGGACCTCGCAGATGGGCGCGGGTGGAGCTCAACATCAGGAATTGCGAAGTGCGTGAAACGCCAGTCCGACCAGAAGGAGGCTGGCGAAGTGACGGCAAAGTTCGTGAACGACCGCCCAAGGCCGCAGGTGGTGGCAGCGGCAGCGGTCGGGCCAATAAGGCTTGTAGCCAGCAACTTCAACAGGGTTTCGTGGGACAAAGTGGCCCTTCCAATCAAGAACGCCATGAAAGTCGAGCCAGAGCTTGCCATCGGCGCCCACGACAGTCCAAATGGCATGACTGAGCAGCAAATCCCATCCTTTGAGAAACATCTTACGACAGCTCAGCAACCCGCAGACGCCCACAGTCCTGGCCACCAACAGGCCGTCGACAATGCCATGGAGAAGTTGCTTCCCTTCAAAAGCAGGCGTAGGTCAACATGCCAGGTCACAGGCAGGTATAGAAGGGACGCGTACGAATTGAATCTGGAATTGGTAAGTTGTCAAACTCTTGATTAAGTTACATGTGTGGTAAACCAACATTCCACAAAGCAAAGTGAGCAGTGCTGGACAGTCTACGACATGATGGTAGCAGCAGTTCAGTTCGCACCACCGAAACCGAGCAGCAGTTCGAGGTATGTGCGTATCAGGTTCGGTGGGCACGAGCGCAAGCAAGGGCGGCACATCAGCACCAGTGCCTGAGGAACCCGCGCGTTCGGGCCCTCTTGCCATGCAAGGCGGAGTCCATTCCGAGGTGGATTCGGTGCAACGTGTTCTTGAGGCCCTGCAGGATTTCGCTGCCCCGCTGGTGCCCCCCCGCCACCCATGGATTTCTCAGCCGGCAGCGAGCGCGCAGCCGTCGGGGGGGTCCGGGGCGAATTCGTTGGTTTTGAGTTTCAATTTTTTCACCGTGGATTTGAGTTCGACCGCGCGTTGCTTGAATGAGAAATCAGCAGAGGTGGTTGGCGACCCTCGTGCAAACATTTAATTGGCCCGTTTCGGGCACCATCCAGAACGCCTTGGGCGGCACAAGAATGACGGAACTTCGTTGGCGATAGGATCGTAGTAATGCGCGAGCACGGGCCTGAAACCATGGATGGAAGTCGTGGTCGGCACCCGATGTTTGAAATACTTTTCTAGCACAATCCCACCTCAGCCATATCGACGTCGGGAATAGGGGCGTCTGCTCGGGCGTTGACATCAGAGCCGCGGCGACCCTTGATGTTCGCAGTTCAGTGCCACCCTGTTTTTTTCCCCCGCTGGGGAGTTATAGAGCGCGGTCGAGTTCCGCATGCCCCGCCCGCCAGCGACAGTTGCAGGGCCAGGGCAGTTGACCACTTCGTCGGGGTGTCAGAGATGCCCGAGCCAGTCGCGTCGGCGGGGGGCGATTTCGCGCGGCGCGGACGCCCGCGCTTTCCAAGGCAGGTCAGCTTGCCAGCGGGCGCGCTCCAGGCTCGCCCGCCGCAGCCCGAGTCTACTCGCCCCCTTTGCAAGTTGCTTGCCGAATTTGGAGGGGCTCGCCCTGCGCGAGGGCGGGCCGTCGGAGCAGCGCGGGGGAGATTCGGGCGCGTCGCGGGCCCGGCGGGGCCGACTGAGACCGCCTTGCTTTCGGCGTCGTTCAGGGGCGCGCGTCGGGGGCGGGCCGCGTTCGCTGGCGCGGCGCAGCAAATCGCGCCATGTCCAAGTAGGCGAAAGCAGGGGTCCGCGGGCTGCTCCCCCGACCGCAGTTGCATCCAAAATTGCGTGTCAGCGCGCGTTTTGATGTTGTTAATCAGGGCCGCGCCTGGCTGACCCGCGTTCGTCGCCTCGCCCGGCCGCCGCTGCGCGCGCGAGCTCACCGTGGGCGCTCGTCTGCAGCTAATGGCGGGGCTGGATCGTTTAATCGCCCAGATTTTGGCGTCGCGCCCGCAGCGCGTTGCTCCGCGGAGCAGCGCCGCCAAGCCTGTCGCCCCCTGCATAGCTGCGGCGCCGTCGATTGCCACCGCCCCGCCAGTCGGGGGGGGGCGTGCGGGGGGGGGGCTGGGGGCGCGGCATTGAAGGGCTCGGATCATAGACCGAGGTCGATCGTCGAATACCCAGAGAGGGCGGGTTGACCCGAGGGCTGGCCCCCTCTCGAGCATCCGTCGGGGAAGGCTGCAACGATGAGTGAAGAATTATGATGGCGGGTTTGCCTCTCTCCACTGTCCAAGAGTCAGCGCGCGCCCGCTAGTGCCCGCAGCGCCCGCGGGCGGGAATCGGCAGCGGGCGCAGCGCGGGAGGGTCGGCGCAGGGTTCAGTCGCGCCCCCCGCCCCGATAAACCACCCGCGAGACGCCGGGGCGAAACCCGACGGGCGGGCTTCGGGGGCGAAGGGCGCGCGCGCCGCGCTGCAGTTCTCCTGTCTGCGAGCGAGGCAAGAAAGGACAGCCGGTCGCGACGCCCCCATGCCCGCCCAGGGCGCGAACCCGAAGAGCGCCTTCCAGCGCCAGCGGGGGCGCGAAGGGCAGGGTGGCGCAGGGGGGGCTGCGCATCTCGAGCGGGCAGCCACGTCGCCCGCTGCGGGCGGGGGCCAGGCAGAGGGCAAGACCGCAGATGGATGGGCAGTCGCGTCGCTCGGCGACGCGGATGCGGCGCGAGCTCGCGGGCCACGTTGCCCCGCCCATTGGGGCTCTTTCTCCCCGCGCCGAGCGCGCGCCCCCCGCGGCGATTCAAAAACAATGCGTAACATCGCCAGTTCTCATCGGCACATCGCGAGTCTAGATTATCAAGCAGACCAACGGGAAAGAAAAGCACGACGAAAAGGGGCGGCCCGACTCTCGCTCATAGCTTTCTATGTCTCGCAAGTCAATGCATCGCCAGCTCTCGCGCGAGAAGTATATTTCATTCTTGGCCACGCAGTCAGAATGCGCGCGCTTTCTCACCGAATGACAACGTTCCATGCGCAGCAGGGATGTCGCCGCGCGCGCGCCGCTGCCCCCGCGAGCTCCGCGCCGCCATCTTGCGCGGCAGCGCCGCGTGCCGACCCGCGCCTTTACGGGGCGGCAAAGGCCGGGCGCGCGCTGCAGCGCGCCCCGCGAGCGCCAAGGTTTCGGCCAGCGGCGCGCGTGGAGGTAAGGGGGCCAGGTGTGCGCTGCAAGCGTCTCTAACGATTGTCGATATGTGTTTGCGGCTGATGTGGAATAGTTCAAAAACGCGGGCTGCGGGGCGCCCGCCGCTGGCGCGCTCCGCAATGGTCCTATCCCACATGAACTATGCGCTTGCCCCGGCGAGGTTGATGGGAACATATGCTTAGGGTTGCGACTTGCATGGCGCGTGGGGCTGTCAGCGCAGGACGAGGAAGCGCGGGGCGATTCAACTGGGCTTTTCGCGCATTTCTCTGCGTGCCATGGCCGCGCGGCAGTTGGCTGTAATCGTTGTCCACTAAGGCAGCGCGCGCGTGTCCTTTCCATCGAAGGTCGCGTGGTTGGTCGTGGGAAATTCATCGAGGGTCTCGCCGCTGCGCGCGCGTTCAGTGTTTGCGCGGCGGTCCAAGAGAGACTCCGCGCGCTCAGCCCAGCGGCGCAGCGCGGTGGAGACGCGCTTTGGCCAGGACCCCGCGCCGCAGTGCATCGAAGACGGCCGGGCCCATTCCATCCCGCCCCACGAATCTCTCGCGGTCGCGCCCCTCGGGCGCGACTGGCGCGCCAGAGCTGTCGTCGTCGCAGGCGCGGTGCTCGCCGCGATCCAGTTTGCGGTAACCTGGCATGGTGATCCAGTTCGTGATCGCCGAAGTGGTCGAGCTCGCAGAGGTTGGCGCAGTCTGTGATGATCCTACTGTCTGTCTGCCATGTAGCGCAGCTCTGAGGGTTGAGTCCGGCGTGGTCGCAGCGGCGTGGGTAGCGTGGCCGCGTCCAGTCATTGTCGTCGCGGCTGAACTCGATCTCATACCTGCGTGGTGGTAGGGGCTTATCACTGCTGGGCCAGTCCTGCACCTCCATGCGCAGATGTGCCTGCTCGATCGCCACGACGCGCGCGACTGCGCGGCCATGGCTGGCTTGTCGCACCGGCGACGGCGGCGGCGCAGGAACCCTTGCCAGAGCTGGCGGCAGCGCCCGAGGCGGTGCAGGCGCGGCCCTTGGCTGTGTTAGGTGAAGGCGCACGACGCGGTGCAAGCGAGTCCGTTTCGATGCCTTGCGTGACCTTGATGATGCAGTCGGGGGCTCGTCGAGCTCGCCGTCGATGCACGGCGCGCGTGGGTCTTCATTGCTGATTGTTTCTGACGTGAGCGGCAGCGCGGCTGTCAATGCGCGACGTCGCGCATGGGCGGCAGCCGCGCGGCTGGTAGACCATGATGCCGCGCAGTCGCTGGAGCGGAAGGATCGCCTCGCCGTCGCGTCCGCGCCCCCAGAGTGATCGGGGAATACGCAAAGCAGTCGCTCTGATCTGAAAGCGTCTTGAGGTGGCTCCCTGAGCCGTCGCCTCGGCGCGAGGGTTCGGTAGCGGGCTGCGTTCGCCAGGAGGCGTTTCTCTGCGTCTCGTCGTGCTGCGCGGCGATGCGTTGGAGTCGCGGCGGCGGGGGCGCGGTCGCGGTTGCTGCCGCCGAAGACATCTAAGCGGAAAGTAGATGTCTTTGGTTTGCGCGGCTGGGCCCGAGGGAAGTAGAGTCCGCGGGCGGGAACCTGACCAAGCGGGGTTGCCGCCGCAGCAGCGCTTGAAGCGTTCGCATGAGTTCCCCCCGCCAGCAGCCAGGATAATTGTTCTGACAACCTCAATGATGTGCTGAGCCGAGAAACAACGCAGC